ACATTCTTGTTAACATGACTTGCTGATCGTTCAATTTGTTGTTGTGCATCTTTTAACTTTGTAATTAAATCTTCCATTTCTTCATGTGTGCAAACAAAATCAACTTTCCCTTCATTATCTTTTACTTTTGTTTTAAGTGTGACAAGAAAAACAGGACTAATTTCTTTGTGCTCAGGACGAACAAAAAAATCTAATTTCCAGCTCACTCCTATAATCTTTGTCAATGTTGTTGTTGTTTCTTTTAAGATATTCCTAACCATCTCTTTATGCAAATCATATACCTCTGCTAAAACACTTCTTTTCTGTTTGTTCCCAATTTCATTTGCTTCTAATACTTCTATATATTGCTCCTTTCCAATATCATTTTTTGCTCCTTCCAAAAAGACAAGGCAAACACAGTCATACAACTTGTCACTTCTGACACCCATTTCATCTCCATTACAAATCTCTTGGACAATATTTTCGCATTGCGTTTTTAATTGTTCTTCAGAAAGAACAGAAAGTTCTTGATTTAATTCTTTACAAACACCTTCTGGTATTTCCATTGAATAAACTTAGAATAAATAAAATAGTTCACCTTCCTTTTTTTTAAATATCTTTCTTTAAACTACCTTCCATTTCTTTTTAATTATTATATCTACAAACCAAGAGGAGAGATTCGAAGGTGGCATGTTAAAAACCAAATAGAACCCTAATATGTCCAAACTTAGAACCCCAGTTATCTTCTGGTTATGACGTGCATTTGGTGAGATAACGCACCACCCAAAACTAATTAGTTATTATTTGTTATGACTATTATTTATTATGATAGAACGTTATTTATTTTAATATAATGTTATTATTTAGCAAGACGCAATATATTTATCAAAGATAGTTTTGAGCTGAATACATGGTATGTTATTAAAAAATAGATTCTTTAAGGGTATCTATAGTGACATAGTCATAGTGTTGTGGGTATATTCTTCTTACATAACATTATAAAGAACGAAGGCCTTAATACTCATTTGATTCAAAA